TATTTACATTTCAAGAGTTTTTGTCGTCTAAAAAACAAGATTGGATTAGTAAGAACCTTGTTCTACAGAGTTCGTCGCCTGTGCAGTCCGGAAGTGATAGAGAGTGAACAGAGAGATTTGACGAATGCCTTGTCCTCTAACGGTTATCCCCTGCCTTTTATAGAGAAATATTGCACACTTACCATTCTCAGGCAAACATGCACTACGGTCGAAAAGAGACCAGTTTTCATTGGTGTGTCATTTAAAGGAGACCATTTTATTGCACGGGTTGGTCGTCGGCTTCGTACTACAGTTGAATCAACCTATCCTTCCGCGAAGCTGATCATGATTCACAGAACAATGAACTCATTAATGCGGTCAAACATAGACAGATCCAATGATTCGGTCACCTCCAATTGCATTTATCTTTTTCAATGTACTTGCGGTTCGCGGTACGTCGGAAGGAATGAACGCTGAATGTCGACCAGAATGAGTGAGCATGTTCCGAATAACTTATCACTTAGGGGCGGAAAGCTTCCAGCAAGCGCAGTGGCACGACATTTGCTCGATACCGGACACTGCCCATCGACAAACGCAAAGCTTTCCGCGTTGTGCTCAAAGTTCGAAGCCAAAGGATGCTCAGGTTTGCTGAAGCGGTTGTCATTAGCCGTTTACAGCCTGACCTATGCGTACAAAAGGCCTTTGTTATGCAGTTGTTATTACCATGGTAATTTCCCTCCCCTTTCCTTCCTATCACCTTACCCGTTCTCTTACATCATCGTTGATACTTCGCTCCTCTTATGTTCCTATTACGTAACTCTAGTTGACGTACTTGGTTGAACAGTTTGTTTTACTCGGTGAATTTTCTGCGTCTATTCGAATTCATTTCTGGTTGAATCTTTTTCGTATTACGTAACCATGTCTTACTTTCCACCATTGCTAATCGGTTTCCATTACGTAACTGTTTTCTATGCTAACATTCTCCACCCCTCCTCCTCTTCTACTCATACTAAAATGACTTTGAAAATGACTCAACCACTCAGTGTCTTCTCCCTGAACCCATGTAATTGTAAATGTCCATAAGTGGTATTCTTATGATAAAATTTGACCTATTTAATGTGCGTAGTTAGCTGACTGAGAGCACGCGAAATTGATGGCCAATATCAATTCCGCTCATATTGTGTTACTTGTTTTATTCAAATGGATCAAAGGGAAAGGATGTTTCCGCAAATAAATAATTCATTGAATAGATATTGTGATTTTGAATTTAACTCAAGGAATTGTTTTTTGTTCGAGTGGTTTCAAAAAGTTTTCTGTATTTTTGTTTATTTTTTGTTTCTTTGCTTTAACGGTTTTTGTAAATTTTCAACCATATGATATTGATTGAAACCAAAGTCCTTCGATTTCACCAAACTATACAGTACGAAGAACTACGAATTCTTTAACTGGATTTTTTGCGATGAGGCCGAAAATTTACCGTTGGGGTTTTATCTAAGTACAACATCAGAATGTTCCACAAATGTGGACTTTCCTAAATTTCGCAATCTTTTCTGGTGAACTAGGCAAAGCTAATTCATGGTTTTAGAAACTCTTAGGCCATCAGCAAGCAATACAGTCAGCCAGTTTCCAACAAGAGCGGTGGTGGCCCGGTAGCAGCACCACTAAATTATCACCCCCGGGAGGATATGTGTTCGAATCCTACGATCACCGCCTATCTTTCCCCATTCTCTCTGTGTTGAATGGCAGCCCCGTTTGATTGACCGCTTTCCCCGTTCCTGATCCTTGTATCTTTGTATACACAATAAAAGGGAGTAAAATGAAGAAGAAAGAAAACGAGTTGTGTAACTAAAGCGAAATGAATGTGCCGTGATCAATTCCGTGATCGTGTGCGTGTATGCGATTGCAACGTCATATCATGTGGTTAGATAAACTCACGTGGATTGTTTCTGCAACCAGGTCGATCGATCAGCCTCACCCGTGCGGCTCGTAAAAAGAGTGCCATTGCAGGTGTGGCAGTGCAATGAACGGAGAGTCCGAGACCGGAGATACACTATTAGTTCATTTCGGGAGATTCATGGGTGTCGGTAAGTTCTTTTTAAAATAACTTCTTTTTGCATTGTTGTTACACAGGTATTTCTGAGTCTGGTTACAGGATAAGTAATATTATGATTTTTAACTCATCGGTTCAAACTATATCCTCCGACCACTTGAGGGCTCCAAGATCAGATAAAATTTAAAAAAATATATTTTTCCCACTGGTGGAGGAATTTCCTGTTAAGATTCACAAATTACTGAGAAATATGAGAAAAATACACACCATCTCATCAAAGGAAGAAAATAATACGAGTAAAACATTTAACCTACCCAAGGTTGCTGAGAAATTCAGAAGAAACCCGCTGTCGGTTTACAAGGATTCTAGAGAGATATTGAACTGTAGAATTTTCCGTGGAGCTTAGTGACAGGTAATAGGCGATATATAGTACTCATGGATGAATGAGAGCGGCATTTGGATAGATCGCCATATAAATGATATAAATGATTAGTGGGATCAGATAGAGTATTTTCTGGGCAAATGTTTCACATGCGGACAAGTGAAGTTCACACAGTTTTTTTAGATAGCTCAT